GAAGAATGCATCGACAAAATTCGGGCTTTATACAGCCAAGTACGGGCAAACTTACGGGTGAAAACGGGCCTGTTGAAAAAAGTGGCCTTTCGGGGCTTGTCCGTCCATCAGATGTGGTGAAGCTGGCCCCTTTTCCTAGAGACTAAGAGGAGGGAGCGCGTTGTAGTGCAAACATTGCGGCAGGCCGTTTGAGAAGTTCCGACAAACTTTGGGGAAGGACGCCTTGCGTTGCCGTGGACGGTGAAAAGCAGCCCTCGATACTTCCGGGGCGGGTCCCACATGTGTCCAGCAGAGTAGTCGGAAAACGACAACGCTGGTTGCCATTGGACACCTTGTGACCAGTTTGGCATTCCCTACGCTTACCATGCGTGTATCCAATAAACTCTAAAAACATTCAAACTGGACCCCCAATGGCACCAAGAAAGGAGCCAACTCTGATATTGTTTTGGGCTTAGGGCGACTCCCTGAGGAGCTGGCTTCGCAAAAACCTGAGGATGCGCCACGGCCGTGTTTGAGTTCGGCCGGTCTCAGGCCGGTGCAAAGATGATCCGGTCTGATGGCCGGTACCGTTGAACCCATGTCTTTTGTTTGTTTGGTTGTTTGATTGATTGTTTGCTTGCTAGCTTGCCTGGTTGGCTGTTTGTCTTTCTGCCTGTATGCTTGTTGCTCATTTGGTTGTTTTTGTGCTTTTGATGCTGGCAAGGCAACGCTTGGCAGCTTGTTGCCAGTGCAATAATTTTCGGGTTTGGCGCCTTCCGTAGCTAGGAGACTCGAAGTCAAGTCGACCTGACTGAAAATGCAGGTCCCATGTTTCACCTACGCAGGATTGGGGCGAAATTTGGTTCTTCAGTCCCTCTACGGGCCACTCATCTTGAAGTCATCCACATAAACGGGAAACCTGAAGGTGGTTTAAACAATAGCGGTCTGCACGTGTTCAAAGGATTGAATCGCCTAAGCCTGGCGGAGAGTGAATGCAACTTTGCTTTGCGCAAGAGCAAGCAGAGTGGCACGAGAAAGGCCCGTGGATCCTCCCCCCATGACACTTCTGTCACCCCTATTTGGGAAAGACGTTTGAGGGTTCTTATTTAATATATGATGCTTGCCGTCGGCCACTAAGAAGCTTGATTCCTTCACGATGAGTTGAATTGGAGTGGCTTTGATGGCTTCCATGCCCCGCCTGTGCAAGTGGGGCTGGCACTCTTTCGCCTTGAGAGAAACTCCAAGGTTTGCCAAGGTGGCCTATGCAGCGCATATGGTTTTTGATGTGACTGATGTGGCTGAGAGCCCCCCGGCACTCCTCTGCTCCACGACTGATCCTGTTTAAGGTGCCCAGGGCGACAGAACCTGGTAGACTCTTCTTTACAGCCAGTGAAGATCCTGCGTATGTGAGATACACCTTGCTTCAATGCCTTTGCGGCCAACTGAAACGCCGAACGTCTGAACACGGAACGTTTGCGAATGGCAACTTTGAGCGAGTTTCCTTTGATACGTAAAGTTTGTAGAATAGAACCACAGTTGGACACCTGCGCAAACTGCGAGGCTTTCGCGTGACCTGGTGGCTCATCTCTGCGAACCCGCGGCCATTTCGGCTTGGTCACCGGAAGGCTTCCTGCCACGGCTGCGGGCTCAGAGCAATCAAGTGTCGCCAGGCGGTGAGTGGGGTGAGGGGTCCAAGTCGCTGAGCTCTGCTAAGGAGGCATTGAGGGTGGCATTGAGGGTGAATCCTTTGATCAACTCAATGAGCACCACCATTGCCGCCACCACCACTTCCTCCAGAGTGCCTGGGCTGCAAGCTGGAGTGGTGTCCAGGTGAGTGAACACACCTTAAGACAAAATGACAATGGCCGTAAAGTGTGTCTTGGATTTAGATCACTCTTGTAAATTGCTGATTTCAGAAATCCAGCACCGTGACGCGCACACACACACACATACACACATACACATATGTGGCACATGTGGCGTCAATCATGTGGCTCACAGGGTCTAAAAAGGGCAAGCTTTGCTCACAAATAATTCATTGCCCTAAATCAAATATATCTATGTTTCCGGATGTAATTTGCAATGTTTACAGAATCAACCGTCTCATTTGGGTTGGTGTACAGGGCTGCCCATTTTCGGAGGTTTGACACAAACACATTTGGACCCACAGCAAATGTTTCGGAAGCCCTAAGAGGGAGTCTGACGTTGCTCGGCTTGCACATGATGTAGCCCGTTTAATCCATTTTAAAACCCTGTTTGGACCTGATTAACATGGGTTTCTTTTGGCGGGGCAGTGCTTGCTGCAGGGAAGCATATGAGGAATCCATTATTCGGAAGAAGGGAAGCGCAATGTTGGGACTCATTTTCCGGGTGTTCCCCCCCAAGAATGAAGGTCCCGCCTTCTAAATGGGAGACCCCCTCATCAATTGATTGAGCAGAGTCGTCTACATTAGGTTTTTGGGTATTCCTAGCACAGGTAAGCAGAGAAGGTGGCATTCCCTGTGCGTTTTTGGATGCTCGTTGCGAGGACAGTAGTCTTGGACCTGAGATCTGCGAGGAGGGTGGCAAGGGCTGCGGGCTTAGAGCAGAGGCGTTGCAATTTTGATCCAAAGCCTCTTGCTGGTTTGGGGAAACAGGGAGAGGGGGTGGGTAGAGGAGATGTGTTTTTCTCAGATGAAACCTTAGGGTGCCTGTTTGGACACAATGCTGGTCATGCCCGTAGGGGGTTGTAGACACCCAACGTTGGGAAACCAGGACTCGAGGAGTTGTGACTGGCAGATGTTTTGCTTTCACAGTGTGCGAGTTTCCCCAGGGTTCCCCAGATTTCCCCTGTTGGTTGCTTGAAACATCAACTCCTCTCTTGGTGGGACAATTTTTTTGTGGTTTAGACATATATATTATATATATAGAGGGAACCTTGGTCCTGACTGCGAAGTGTCGCAAGAGTGATCTAATTCCTTTTGCCAGATCCCCACTACAGTAGCTGCATACACCACGAACCCACGTCTCTTGCAGGCCTCTTCTTCCCTATTGCCCGGCGCTGAGAAACAGCTTGAGTCAGCCACGAATTGTGGCCTTCAGTGATTTGAATCTGAATTTACCTTCAAAACCCGCCAGCAGGGTGGCTGTCCGATTCAGGAATCCAGTTTGCTTGTTCTTGGGTGCGTGGGTGCGTGGGTGGGTGGGTGGGACGTGCGGCTTGTCTCCAGTGCTTCGGGGCTTCATTGGCTTCACGCGAGGTGGAGAATGAGTATGAGTGGGACAAGCCTCCGCCTCAATGCTACCTCGATATCTGCGGGAGGCTGACACCCCCAAGACATTTGATCAAAGGCGGCCACGGGTTGGGGCCAAACCCACGGCGCTTTGGTTCGCCCTTTGTTGCTCTGAACCAACAATTTCAATTTGTATGGGGCGAACTTGCTCACAAAAGAACTCCAAAGATCACGGTATGGCATTCAACCCTTGAACATTTGGAGCATTGAGGCATGATAGGCAACTGCATGTTCTGATCGTGGTACACTCGGCTACCCCATGTCATCGCCACTTCCCTTTCGGTTTCCATGTCCATTACGGGCGACTTCCGCATATTTCGACTGCTCTGAGGACACTCCGTACCTTCCTGTACTTCATTGCCTTAGTTTGGCGGCCACCTCATACGAGTGAAAGCTGACTGCTGCCACGGCTGCCTTCAGACTGGACATCTTACATTAAACACTTCCCTGGGTTGTTGCTCGTTCCACAGCTTTCTTTGCGGGCCAATTAAGGGGCCATTTGTTTCAAGCTGCAAAGGGAAATGGTAAAAAGGCAACCTTCGGGTTCAGCGTGAGGTGTTTTCTCGGCGTCGCCATCGTGTCGGATATTTTCATGGAGGCTTGGCTCGCAGACATTTTCCAGTGTCAAACCGATTGGGCCAAGGCTGCTCTGTGCAAACGAATGACCAAATCTAGGTGTTGCCCTTTTCCCTTTGCTGGAACCATGCTTCTAGCCTTCCAGGTTTTTCAGAGTGACCTTTTTGCCCTCCAGTTTCAGTTTTGGGAAGGCCAGTTGTGTAGAGATCCTTTAGCGCTTTCCTGCAAAGCCATCCACAGATGGGGTTCCCTGTGCGAGGACATCTCCTGTTTTTGCATGGGCGATGCTTCGCCAGGCGATTGAAAGGGTGACATCGAAGAGAAGGAGGAAGTCTGAAGCTCGGGGGAAGGCAGACAAATACACACTTGGAGCGTCCGCAAAACACTCTTGTTTGTATTGCCTATTGGCTTTGCCTACTGGCTTGCTTGCTTGCTCGCTTGCTTGGTTGCTTGCTTGCTTGCTTGCTTGCCTGCTTGCCTGCTTGCCGGCTTTCCTGCTTGCCTGCTTTCCTGCTTGCCTGCTTGCCTGCTTTCCTGCTGGGGAAGAAATATTGGCTCATGTGTGAGAGGGTCAAGCACTTGCGGGGGGCAATGGGACCGATCATGGACCACTTCAACGAGGAATAGCGACAAGCATTGTAGAGGTTTTCACATGTTTTGTGGAACCACCATCATGACTGACATAAGAGCCAGAGTCAGAACTGGGAAGATAAAGTAGGGCCAGTGACCTCGCCACGACGTTGGTAATACCAGGAGACCTTCGAGAACGGTTGGTTTCTGTTGACTTCCCTTAAAACCTCATCCAATCCATGGAAGTCCCTGATTTTGCGACACACACACAATTGGAAAAGGCTCCAAAGCCATCAGACAAAGCTTCATTTGAGAACCCCCTGTTGGTTGTTTCAAAGAATATCAAAAGGATACTGCTTGGTTTTGATTCTCACTCAGGAGTTTGACCATATGTGAGGAGCCCGGGTTGGTCTTAACGCAACTCACCAAACAGGATTGATGAACAGATCCCCTTCTCATTCTTGATATAAGAGAATCGACAAGTCCCAACCAGGCTTTTGGCCCACGGAAGACTCAAATCATGCATTTGGCTCAAGTCCCAACCCGGAGAAGGTCCCAAGCTGCCTCAGCCTCGCGCCGGTCCCAAGCAAGTGCCGATTGGCCATGGGCTTGGAGCCATTGGAAGGGCCGTACGTCAGGGAGAGGAGCCAGGGTTGGTCGCAAAAGTCAACATGCTGAAAGAGCCAGATGCAACCCCAGAGGAGAGGAATAACAATCGAAACCTCAAGGAGAACGAGAACATAAAGAATGGCCTCACGAAACAGGCTGTCACAGCCATTTGGCAAGTTGAATTCTACTGGTTGGGGCCCTTGGACCATTTTCCGCTAGGGTAAGTGGAGCGGTGTCTCCGAAAAATCGTTGGCTTCCTTGTTTTGCCAAGTGCCAACAGTTAGGGGGACAACCTTTTGGCCACTCAAGGAGGCGGCCCATCTTCAGCTTTGACGAGGACTTCACCTACAGCCTCCTGGAGCCGGTCTTCCGGGATCTCGGCCGGGGCGCGGACTTTGAGCGCCTCTCCGAGGAGAGCCAAAGGACCGGGATGGAGATGGAGACGGAGACATGGCGCTTTGAAACAAATGGGTGGGCGGTTTTTGAGGGTACCCTTCTCAAGGGAAGCTGAAAGGAACACCACCTTTGGGAGGGGGAATTTTTGACACACATACCCAAAGGTAGCTCTGTGGGGATTGTCGTTCAGGTTTGCCCCAGAAGAGGGGAACCTTCCAAGATTTCCTTTTCGCATACACACCATTTCAAAATTAGCTTCCTTTTGTTGGGGCGATTCGTTTGTGAGTCGGACATGTTGGAGCTTTGCAGGAAGTTCTGCCGGGAGCTGGACAGATGTGACGTGGAGGTGGAGCCCGAATCTTGCGAGGCAGCGGGAAATACGACATGGAAATAGCCCAGCACCAGGTCAATATGTTCCCCTTTAATTGGGGTCACCAAACTGTATGGCTCTGAATGTTCATGCGGAATATCCTCACAAATGGTTGGTGGACACACGCACACACACACACACACCTCCATGTAAACCTCCATGTAAATTTTTGTCCACCAAAGGGTCAACCAAGCCAAGTTTGAGACAGACCTGTGGTTTTCAGGTCGGGCTCAGAAGTTTGGCTTGTACCTTTCGTCCAAGCAGAAACAATCGATGCTTTTGCTTCTTGGTCCCATCCAAACAACGAGACAACTTTTGTCATCTACAATATCAAGACAATACATATTTGTTTGATGTCTGAGGGGTGCCTTGCTTCTGTGCCAACACACAAACGTAGCTTATGCAGTTATATCACCTTCTCTATCGCAACATTGACACTTGCCATTGTGAACAATAGCTTCCAAACATTTCCTTCCGGGCTTTGAGGAAGGACATTGAACTTTGGGCTCTTAGGATCTCTTCAGCTAGCGAGTTCCTGGCGAACCTGTGCTCACGGCTCACAGGGACCCGATGTTTTTTCGACACGTGCCCCAAACCACCGTGTTGGTAGAGGTCAAACATGCGGTTCGGGGTGGGACAACTTGATCGGCGATCGGGATTCTGGTGTTTCAGGAGTACCCCAGGGGTGGTTTCAAGAAACTTTGCCCAAGTCTGGTGTTCACCCATTTGCATTTGCTTTCCAGGAGCCCCCAGCCATGTGCTGGTCACCCTTTCTGGAGAGAAGCCCATATAAAGTCTGACAGCCATCCTAGAAGCAGAAGTTCATGGGTGAAAGCGGGTGACAGGAGTACCTGGACTCTTTGGTGCGCCTCTGCAGCGACATCACCCGGGAGTGCACGGGGAAGAGCTTCAAGGAGTGGCGCCTGGCTGGGCACGCAGAGCTGGAGCTGCGCAAGGTGCGGAAGGGATGCCCAAGTTTCGGTCCGAGGTTCGTTTGGCCCGTCCTCCAACCATAGTCTCTAAAATACCCGCCCGTTTAAGGGAAACCACCGTCTTAACATTATTTTGAAGGCTAGAAGAAACAGGGTTGGGCGAATGTTTAGACCAAGGAACCTGAAGGAGTTTGTCACGACATTTGGCCACGTTGAAACCAGGGGTCTGTCAGAAACCATTCGACATTCAATACTCAAGGAAGCCGACAGGAGTTTGGGGAAGAGAAAGCCCCCCTCCCCTTCGTATGTTGGAAACCGGGTGGGACCAGTAGGACCTTTTGGCTGCACTTTCAGATTTTCTGCGGGTGATAGTGAGGTCTAGTCTGGGCGGAAACCGCAATCTGGACGGCGGTCCCTTGCCTGGGGATCCATTCCTTGTAGTTTGGATGGGTGGTTTAGGCCTAGGTTTTCCCTCATGTGTGTGCGTGTGTGTGTGTGTGTGTGTCCAGGCAAATCCTGGGCTGGTAGGGGTGGTCGCGGGCCTTCCAGGGAATTTGAAGATTTTTCACGAGCGAGCAATGACAGGGTGACCTTGGCCCACAGCATAGATTGACTACGACAAATACACCTGAGGTTTGATAGGTTGGATGGGTGTTTGGGGGGTTCTATTTTTCTGACAGTTGTTTCTCTTCTTGCTTTGTGCAAGGATCAACCTTTGTTTCATGGGCCTTTGGTAATTTATTGCGTAAATGATGGATTGTGGTAGGAAACGTCATGACCCCTGCTCTAAATTCAATGGGTGGTTTGGATGGGCGGTCAAGGACATTGGGTCAGTTTTCGTATCCTTTTTCATGCCTCCCCGAAATCGACATGTTGTGCTTGTTGGTTTTGTTTGTTTGCTTGTTTCTTTTGTTTGTTTGTTTGTTTGTGTGTTTCCACACGTGGCCTTTTTGTGTGCTCGTCTTTGGATGAGTGAACAATCGATGTATCGAACTGAGTTCCCTCCCATGTGCCTTCCTTTGGTTCCTGCCCCACGTTACACCCCCAACAAGTGGTCCTTTGCAGTGCCATCGCTTCCTGTACCAACAAACGCAGTTTGACTTCCAGAGGTAACAGCTGCGCAAATCCCAACGCGCATTTCGTGGATTCCAGGCATGGCGGCACTTTGTGCAGCTGGTCGCCCTGCGAGACTTCGAGTGGGAGAACCTGGTGCGATATTTGTCGGACCCCACGGCGGCATGGAAAGCGCCCGGGGTGTACGCCGTGGAAAATTCAGCCAATATGACCAAGATGGTGAGGTATGCCATCTCCCAAAAGCTGATGGTCCCACTGCAAATGTGGGCCTTGCTGCTGAAGCTGGCTGCCGATGACGTACCGAAGCGCGGCTACGTGTAGGCCTTTGAAAAACAAGAGCCTGCTTGAGCCACGTGAGCGAGGATGCCACTTCTGCGCGGCGCATGTTGACGTTTTGGAACTGCTGAGGTTCAATCAGCAAACCGGGAAGTTCGTGACTGTTAGGGCCGGCATCTCAGAGCATGTTGGCTGCCTCTACATGTGGCATGCAGTTGTCTAGACATGTGTTTTTGATGTGTGGAGTGTCACATGAAATTATCGTCCAAAACATGCCTGGGCCTGGGCCAAGGCCTTTAAAGGTCAGGGATTCGGGCCGGAATTTCGTTTGAAGAGGTTCATGGCTTGATTGTGGCTTTGGTGAAGTCGATCACCTAGATCGTTGGACAGAACAAATGGATGTCTACATTTTTCCGCGAGACGATTGACGTGGCATTTTGGTGTGTTGCTGACCTGGCGGCACCCAGGTCTGGAACCCCACCGTAGCGAACCTGACCCTGATGGCCTTGGGTGGCCCCCGCTTGTGCCTTTCGCGTTCCGCTTGGGGCGTTTCTTTTTCGGGCTTCGAAAGCTCAAAGTCTGCACCTGCGGTTCGCCGCCAAGGAATCGAGTTTTGGTGTTTGAGACTGCCACAGATCCATCGCCAGGATCGAGCGCGCCAGAGATCCTCCTGTCCATCATCGAGCTTCTGGGCAATCAGGCTGGACCCAAGTCCGAAGTCGCAAGCCATCTCCGCAAAAGGCATTTTGGCACATGGAAAAAAGTTGAACCCAAGGCATTTTGGCACTGCCTTGGAAGGAGATTCCGTTCCTAAGCCTGGAGGGGTCGACTTTGGCTTCTGAACATTTGGGGATCATCAGAAGGGATTGGGCTAATCAGCATTGGAGACCCTGCGGCAATTTGGACAGGTGTTCGCGGGTGACTTGGGTCCGCAGAGCCCTCAGCCGAGAGGCGGAGGAGTGGGTTTAAGTTTTGGTTGGTATCCCTCTTGGGTGAATTCAACAGGACCACCCAAAGGAAGCCAGCCATTTTGTGGGATCCATTTCCAGTTGGGACACATACCCAAGTTTTTGCGGCACAGAGCTCATATCATCAAGATTTGTGTTGATTGCCGCCCTGACCCTCCAGTAATGATTCAGTATTGTTCGATTAGACGTGATGTTTTCTCCCACAGAAAGCGGCCAGAGGTGAGGGCATCCCCTTCACAAATGGCCTCTGCCTTGCGCTGCATTTTGCCTGGTCTTGGGATTGAGTCAATGTGTAGCCGTTTCGCACATTTCAGAGCCCACGACTCAGTTTGGAGTGGTTTGCCCATCCTTTTCGTCCAAAACGTTTGCATATTCCGGTCTTTTCAGGGCCTTGTTTCTTGTATCTCTGTATACTATAAATCAGTGTTCATTTTCAGGTTCACACGAACGATTCCATTTTGCCGAGGTAGGTCCTTAGAGTTGGAAAAGTGGGGCCCCCATTGCTGGAATGGGAAAGGCACAGAAAGCAGACGCCCAGCAGTGTCCGCTTGTTTTGCCACCCACCCTGAGGCCCTGAGCTATGAAAGTCATATGTTTAGTCGCCCAAATGCTTTCCGGGGCTTCACTCACGAGGTCGACCATTGTCGGAAGTGCAGCCTTTAACCTCTTTATCATCAGCGCCGTCACCCCGCCGCTTTGTTTTTCTTTGGACAGGGGGGAGGACTGGGAGGACCTCAACGCGAGAGGTTTGGACGCCATGCGCTGGGCCGCAGCGCTTTGCCAGCGCGCATCTTTCGATTTCGCTGGACATGTCGGCTTTCCTTGTCCCAAGCCGGGCTCAACGGGGTTTGACATTCATGCAAGAGAGGATCAAGGTGGGGTCGTCACGTTATTGCCTACCAGGGGTAACTTGTTGGGGAAGTTGCGAAGACCGCGATTGGTCAAACATTTGGTGGCCAGACTTGGTGAAAACAGGGTCGATTGCTGTTGGGGTTGAATGTTGTCTTTTTTAGATAGCCTTGTGCAGCATGAATGAAACCACCCCCCTTAAGTGGCAATGGATTCCTGCAACTTTTCCCAGAAAGAGGCGGCGAAGCGATTCGGCGAACGGACCACCTCTGCCTTTGCTAAGTGAGTTGCCAAACAACTTTATTTTTTTGTGGTACCTTGGAAAAGCAACACATGTTGGGATTCGGGCAACCAATAGGCGCCACTATTCAGCCCATTTGTCTAATTTTGGTTTAAGCACTTGGGTACTTGTTAAACTGAGTGAGGCCCCTTTCCGGACTAGTTGAAAAGGAGACCAACACAGACCCTCTAAAGATCACTGGCTGGATTCGGCACTTGCCGCTATCCTTGCAGACGCCCGAAGCCAGGTGTGCGTGATGGCCATACCAACTGGACAAGTGCGGTACATCAAGGACACATGTGTGGGCAGTCATTTTGTCGTGTGGCGTTGCAGATGTTCTTGGGCTTGTTAGTCAAAGGGGAGTCAGACCCCATTTTGTGAGTTCTGACATTTAGAGGCCCACATCGTACACGGGCTCGTTCAAGGCTTCTTGGAGATTTTGGGGGACGGGCCAGACCAAAGTCACTTCGAGTGGTGGACTTCTTTCCCTTCAGAACCAAGGGGCGGGCACCTTGCGCACCTCTTTGCGACTTGGGCTTGTTTGTCGGGAGAGGGAAGCCCCGAGGGGTTGGATTGCGGATGCAAATTAAGTTGTGCCAACTGGCTTCCATCACGGGGTCAGCACATCCTTTTGCAGTGCGCGTGCAGAGATTGCAGGACACCAATGTCTACATGGTTGTGAGCCCAGATAAGAGCTTGTCTTAAAAATGGAAACTTGCTTCCGGACAGCGTTCAAAGGAAACCCTACACAGAGCCGCTTGTTTTGGGATGGTCAATGGGTATTATTTTTGGTGTCTCCATCGACCGAGTCCGCAGCTGAGGTTACCGCAGCTTTCTCCATTTTAGCTTATGTGCAGGGGCCTCGGTCATTTGCATAGGGAGTTGGGCGTAAAGTCTGGCCAAGCACCTTTCAGAGCAGCGAAAGGAGCGAGAGACGTGCGAGATTGGGTTTCAGGGGCCGTTTTCAGTGCAAAGGGAATCCCTTTTAACAAGTTCTTCTGGTTGGACGGCCCATTCGCCACAGAAAGGGGCTCATTTTCCGAGAGCGCTTGGCCAGGTGGCTGATTGTCATCCTGAACGGAATTTCCCCAAACGCCTGCCCGGCGGGTTTTCGAGCGCGCCTGTCTTCTGCGCATGTCACGACTCGGCTTGTGTACCTGGTTTGTTTGCACCATTATGATTCTGAAATGTTGGACGGTTGGACTTCAATGTGTTTTAAATGGTCTCTACGCGGGGTGGATATCCGCACCCAAGGGACTGTCCCCCGCTAGCCTTCATCTACCCAGGTGTTTATTCTGTCTCAGTTTGATATCCTTACTAAATCGTTTGGACCCTTTCGTGGGCATCATGTAGATGGTTGGATTCATGCAACCACCAGTAGCCACATTGGTCAGGTGGTTGCACTCTAAGCATGTTCATACCGTGTTTGAACCCGCAGTGCGCCAGGTGGTTGAGATTTGGGAAGCGGTCTGTGGCTAAGACTGTCCGTGCCATTTCAATGTCTCACGGGGAAAGTCCCAAGAGGGTTTCCCTCTAAGCCCAAGCCCATAGGTTCTACTCTTTGGCGTTCCCCATTTTGAGACCCGCATGCACATGAGTGTCCGGTCGATACGAATGGCAGAGAGATATTGCAATGTGTCAGGTGATCACCTTTGTTTTCTTCCCCCTGCTGGTGCCGACCTCGGGCTTGAAGCGGACGCAGCGGTCAGTGAACAGCCCATCCCCATTGCCAGGCTTAACTACCCTTTGCCCTGGCCTACCCTTGTGGGTTTTCATTTTCCCTTTCAACCAGCAAAAGTTCACTTCATGCAGGGCAGATCAGGCTGGCCAAGTCTAGACACAGACCTGCGAGGTGTTCATCGCCTACGCGGCGGACATCGGCTGGATCGGCTCCAGTGAAGCGTCCCCACCTTTGGTCGCGCACAGCAGATTTTGAGAGAGCTGCTCCAAGAACCCGCGAATAATTTGTGGAGTTTTTGGGAAGATCGGGTTCGGTAGTCAACAGGCAGTCAACAAGTAAGCCACAGCATTGACGGTTTTCGGGGTCAGAAATTCACCCCCCACCCCTCCCACCCAAAATCCCAAAGGCGAGAATTGCCTTGTTTGCCTCCGAGTTGACCCCCAGCGCCACACGGTCTGAGGGTCAGAACGGGGCGTGGCGCAGTCATCACCGCCGACATGACCTCCGAGGACTGAGGTTTTGGGGGTTGGCATCCCAATTCTTAACGTGTTAACGTTTTCGTCCTGCTTTCCGCAGGGCGGGCCTCCCCAAGTGAACATAAAGCTTCCAGAGTCTCACAGGCCTTGTAGGCCTGATTGAGGAATGACAAGCCATAGGCGGCATTAGGAGGCAACACCCCAGCTTCGTAGGGGGTGATAGCCTTGAGAGCAGCTGAGGAAGAATACATGAACATTCATGTAGAACCAACAGTCAATTTGTTTTGGGTCCGCACTGAGCTGTTTGTGAAGCGGGTTTCGCGGTCAGGAGCTCAAAGACTTGGAGCAGGACATCCGAAAGAGACATGGCCTGGCTCTCGTTGTGCCGCTTTGTGGCTCTGGCTGAGCCGAATCCAACTTGGCGCCCTTTCTTCAGCGTCCTTTGCACGCAAAAAGGTGCTCTCAAAATCGGTTCTAAACAGATAGATTCCGTTCGCTTGCACCACATGACGATCATGACATGGGAGCACTTGCGATGTAGCATCCCAGAAGTCATTTGTGTGTGTCCCTTGCGAGGGTACCCTTTTGTTGGTGCTTGAACAGAAACCAAAGCACGCTCCCCCTCTTTTAGAGGTCCAGTTCCCTCTTTTGAGAAATACCCGTTAGAACCGTGAGTGGCCCAAGTTGCGCTGGGTCGGCGCCCGCGTATCAAACGAGCGCATTGTTCTGAGGGCTCTTGGGTTGCATCCTGGAGTTGCGCCTGCGGATGACTCGAACCGGCCAACAACAGC